ATGTAAACAAAATGCTACTGGCTGTAATATTCCCCGCCTAGCCTTCATTAAATTACGTCTCAGATTGTAAAATAACTGTGCATTCCAAGGCACTTTACGGGATCTTTAATTGTAATTAAAAATGATATGAGTTCAATAAAAACAACAACAACACACTCCAACCTTGTCCCACGGTATCTATGACTTCCCCCACAGTGGAAAAAGCCACTGATGGCTCCATGGTGAGTGGAGTTGATAGGAGTGTGCAGGAATCATGTACCCCAGCAGGAGAGCGTGGATCGGGGGCTGTGAGAGTCACCTCTCCCCCCTGCTGGAGGCACATACATCATGGAGCTCCAAACAGCAGGTGACAAACACATGACCTGACCTATCAGAAGATCAAAACACAAGGGTGATTTCAATAAAGCCAAGGTGTTGGGTCGTGGCCTAGTGATTATGCAGGAGTCTACAACCCACACCGTGTCCTGATCCTCTATTTTCCACATTACAGCTTCAGGTCAACATCATGTCTAAAAGGAGGGCAAAAGCAGGTGCTGTATACTAGTGATGGGTAATGGATGACCCCCAACCACATGACAATCTCAAAACATTATACAATTCTGAGTGTGCTTCACACAGGTGAGTGGGCTTTACAAACCACCCGTGGAAAACACACTCTTTCATCTCTCTGTCATTTCAACATCACTTGCACAAGTTCTGCACATTTGTACCACACACGCTCTTACAATCACTCCATATCGCCTAAAAAAACATGGTGGATTTATAGAAGTGTGCCTCACACAGGTGAGTGGGCTTTACAAACCACCTGTAGAAAATGTGTTAAGCTCTTCGTCATTTTAACCATCACTTGCACCAGTTTTGCACATTTTACTCGTTCTTACAATCACTATCTAAATAAAAAAATATTAAGGATTTATGAAAGTGTGCTTCATACGTGGGCTTGACAAACCACCTGTAGAAACACTCTTCTCTTTCTTAAAAAAATAAACATAAAAAAACCACACTCCCCCTTTCTAACTCTAGTGGTTAATTATCTGAGCACTAACAGTTTATTTGTATAATTAGCACTTCTTTTGTGAATTTCCTCTTCATGTCGAATAACTGAATGCCTCCTCAATTCATAACCATCTGCTAAATGACTAAATGTAAATGATTCTATTTTTTTTGGAATGATTGTATTTTAGTTATTTAAATAATGTGCAACTTATTGTAATTGATCACAATGTCTTAAAGACCATAACAATATATTGTCTAGAAAAAAAAAAAAAGTCTTGTATGAAGCACACAAATTATGTTATCTGAATTGGTCAGTGTATTTTTTACATGATGTACAGGTATTACTATGAAATCAAAATATTTATTGTTACTTTTCAAGATTATAATATATTATATTATATTATATTATATTATATTATATTATATTATATTATATTATATTATATTATATTATATTATACTATATTATATTATATACTATATTATATTATATTATATTATATAATATTATATTATATTATACTATATTATATTATATTATATTATATTATATTATATTATATTATATTATATTATATTATATTAATTCAGCTTACTTATTTTCCTCTTTTGAAATTGTTTAAAAACAGTGTTTATCTTATAAAAATGTGTCCAAAAATATTGCATAACAGATGTACCATACTTTATATTTAAACTGACAGACTTAACTCCAACAACAAGATACAAGAAAGTATGTAATCACTCACACATTAAGTAAGTATGTGTGCTTTTACTGAGATAATATTTTCATCTGAAAAGTTGTAACACCAAAACTAAATATTCTTGAAACAGTTATGAATATAAATTGGAACAGATCACACAATGGGTTCATACATTGACTATAATTGTGGATAATATAATTATATGAATGCAGCTTTAAGAAGTGTTTCATTTTCTCAATCACATATTCATATTTATTACCACTCTTTGAGTGACACTTCAGTGATATTATGTGATTTTATTGAATTTTATTTTAGTAAAAAAAACAACAACAACAACAACATCTAAATCATAAGTAAATGGTGAGAAAATTTTCAGTTATTGAAGCTCAGAAATTTCAATCCTTTCTTCTGTTGAAACAGAAATGAGATATTGTCAAGAATGTTGGAGAAAAGCAGGCATTTGCTTCCTTAGTAGAAACAACAAAATGTTCAGATAGGAACAAATGTGTTCTATTGGATTGAGTTCTGGTGACTGTGGAGGCCATTTGAGTACAGTGAACTCGTTGTCATGTTCAAGAAACCAGTCAGAGATAGTCCTGAGACTCATCAGACCACGTTTTTAAACTCTTTTATTGTCCAATTTTGTAATTTTTAATTTATTTAATATTATTATTATATTTTTTTTGTTAAAAGTAAAACAGGTAACTTGTATTTAGCAAGTACTGAATTATTAAAATTGAATTTCAACAACATTTAATTTTTTTAGCTGTAAAGAATTTATATTAGTGAACAGAAGCATAAAATGACCCCTATAAATAATAATAAAAACTTTAAAAAACATTAAGAATAGAAATTACAGAAGTCAAAATCTCTATTGTACGTCATGAGGGGAACACAAGGCCATTATATAATGGAAATTCTTCACGCCAGCTTTACCACTGGAGCAGATACAGCCACACATCTCCCTTGCTCTTTCATCTTCACTATTGACTGCTCATGCTGTGTTTCTGAGGGTCTATTTGCTATAAACGCTCTTTGCGTCCTATGGTTCTGACATGACAAAGTATTGCTGTTTGTATCGCACAGAACCACAGGAGTCTGCTTATCTGAAAGACTTACAGACTTAAATCGCTATAGAGTTTAATCTCTACCTGCCTAAACACACTTCAGGTGGATGATCTTTATAAAGTTTCATCACTTACAACTGACTGCTTAGAAATGGCATATATAAACATATCAAACTGTGACTGACTGCTAGACAGTAACCAGTTAGACAGTTTCTTTATGCTTGTCTAAATTCTAGAAGTGTGAGACTGAGATGTGCTGGAGGAAAAAATCAATCAGTCAATCCATCAATCAATTAGTAGTTCTTTAACTGTCATGGAAATTTGAATGAATATGAACTAAATACTCATTTACTAATTATTAATTTATTCTAAATAAATGCTTAGAGTTGAATTAAATTCCAGCTGGGGAATTTGATATGACAAAAAGTATAAAGGGATTATATTTAAATTAGAGACCTGCGTAACTGTCAAGGAAATATAATGAAATACATGGGAATTAATCATACCAAAATTAATGATTTAATATAAATTACTAGTAATCATGAAATACTTTCTGGAGTTTCATCGAATGCAAACAAAATTGACTTGATGTGGATTTAAAATAATATATAAATAAAAATAAAATATAAAATCATATAATGTAAATTAAACATAACAGGTCCTTTGTATGTGTAAAATTATGGGAAGTTAATATATATATATACACACACAGAGTTGAAGTCAGAATTATTAGCCTCCCTTTTGAATGTTTGTTTCTTTTTTTAAACATTTCCCAAATGATGTTTAACAGAGCAAGGAAATTTTCACAGTATGTTTCACAGCATACAATTTCTTTATTATAGGAAAGAAATTCACTGAAATGAATTATTAATATAATAATAATCATAGTATGATTTTCTTCTGGAGAAAGTTTTTTTTTCAGCTAGAATAAAAGCAGTTTTACAATTTTTTAAAAAAACATTTTCAGGTCAAAATGATTAGCCCCTTTAAGCTATATATTTTTTCGATAGTCTACAAAACAAACCATCATTATACAATAACTTGACTAATTACCCTAACCTGCCTAGTTAACTTAATTAACCTAGTTAAGCATCGGACAAAATAACAGAAATGACGTCATTTCAAACTAAATCCGGCCAAAACAAAGTTACTTTTTAAATTCTTTTGGGCAGTTTGAAACCAATTAGCAGAAAACTTTTAGGGGGGATTGCGTTTTCACTCCAAAACACCTTTTAGGGGGTACTCACACTATGCTATCAGAATCGTGCCAAGGCGCCCTTCCCGATTTGTTTGAGAATAGTAAGTGCTGTGAATCGGCCTTAGGCATGGTTCAGTTGGCCAACCCTGGCCCGGTTGGAAGAGGTGTGCCAGAGCGTGGTTCACTTGGGCTTTGACGCGGTACACTTGTAGTGACACAAGGTCACTTTTAAGAAATTGTTTCATGTGGATTTATTAATCATTCTTCATTTTCAATGAATGCGAACTGTCATAGTTTAATAAAGACATAAACCCCTTGTTGCACGTCAGATGACACCGAGGAGAGAGAATGGAAACAATCGCACTTTGGTACGGTTCAAGACAACTGTACCTAATGTGAATGCGCCCTTAGTTACCATTGGTGCATTGCGTTTATGCAATCAGTGGGTGAGTTCTGGAACTTCTGGAATGCCTTCTATGGCATGCAATGACTTCAGACCCCAAATCAATTCTCATTCCACGGAGGTCAGACAAAAAAACAAAATCAACATGTACAAACTGGAGAATCAAGTAGCAGAGCTGGTTTTTACAGAGCAGAGCAAATGTTTATAGAACTGCTCTTCTCTAAGCACCAACACTGTTGTTGTGTTTAGGAGTAGATAGGTACACATGAGCAGTATGATGCAAGTACAACTCTGCCTCCAGTCTAAATGTTCGAAAACGCTATACCATCACTCAGACTTTAAGAATTTTTTTTGCTCTCAAACAAAAAAAACAAAAACATCTCTACTTCCATTTCATTTGAAGTACAGTATACAGGGCCTTTCACCAGATCCATTGATTTTATTTCCTATTCAACAGGAAAAACACTTATGAATAAAAAAATGGTAATATATATATATATATATATATATATATATATATATATATATATATATATATATATATATATATATATAAATTTGTAAGGAATTCCTCATTACCTAGAATATAAAGACAAGTCTAGAAAGCGTGTGTATTGCATGACTGTTGCTCTCACCTCAGCGATGGGCACGATGCCCTGGATGTCTCTCTGGCTGATGTAGATGGTGGAGATGACCTCAGCTGACGCTCCAGTGGATGGATACTCGATCTGCCAGCGGACGGACTGCGATGACCGCAATGTGATGAAATTGTCAATCTCAAAGTCCACCCACATGATCTCGTAGTAGGAACCATCAAGTCTGTTGAGGAAAAGAGAAAGACAGATGTCCAGATGAGACGTGTGCACAGCTATTTATTCAGCTGGACTGTAGAATTGTAAAAAACAAGGATTGTAATGCACCTGTAGGAGTTTCCAATCAGTTTTTTCTGTTACTTACATACAAAAAAGCATGTCTAAGCCCATTTAGCTTGTGTGCTAATAACAGATTTTTACAAACCTTCTCAATAGAGAAAAAAACAAGTAACATTTCTAGTTTTTACAATATTTGCTCTAACATTTGTCTTCAAAAGAATTAAGTATAGTATGTAAAGTTACATTTATTTTGTTTTTTTATGTACACAATTTAACAGTTTACTCATGGAGCTACATATTAATCAATGTCTATACCAGTATTTAAACAAATAAGGCAATAAAAGAAGCACACCAGGAGAAAATGTATGAAAAATATATGCGTTACAGACAGACCCCAAGCTGAAATCATACTTCCTTATTTGCACCAATATATAATTATATTATTGTATTAATGCATGCTTTTTATACATAAATGTGTGTGCTTTTAACCCAAACAAAGATTATAGTAGCAGTAACAGTGTTTATTATCCAATAGCATGCTAAGGAAAATAAAGGGAATAAAATGAACATTCTGCTTTAATGTTTAAAATGCAACAACAAAAAAAATCAATCTGATTACTGAACACATTATAAAAAAATCAATTTAGGAGATGAATAATTGATCTCTTCAATATATATAGATTCTAAATTAGTGTGCACGTTCCACTGGTATGATTGTGTTTATGCACATAAATTATCTCCTAAGATATTGGTATAAACAATCTAAAGGGTTTCCTGTAATCACATGCAAAGAATGAACTCAAGGGGTGGTTAACAATTTTGTTCTATCCAGTTCTTTTAATTGAGGTGAAACAGGATACATTTTAAAAGTATTTGTTCCTCATTAAATAAAAGTATAAGCTGTATATAAAGTGATTTTTTTGATCACTGAAAATGTGCAAAGCTTAACAATATACTCATGGGGATGTATATGTAAAAATAGCAAGCTACCTGTTATCTATTTCCAAATTAGGACTACACAATATATAGTTTCAGCATTGATATCGCAATATCACACCTTATTGTGGAGTAAACGCAAAGTTTAACCATAAGATTCCAAAAAAAATGTATCTTTGCCTGTGACTGTGTACGCTATAGGGGTGTCAAAATTAATTGTTTCTTCGGTGCACCGCGATGCAGACGCGGACAATTCTGTATCAGTTCAGTAATAGACCATAATCAGTTATTACATAATGACGTCATTTATCTTATATGCATTATATATATATATATATATATATATATATATATATATATATATATATACAGCTTACTATGGCGAGGGAGATGTGCAGCAGAAGTATTTCCTTGCGATTGAGAAACTGAAAGTTTCTTACTCTCTCATTTCTCTGTCTCTCTCTCTCTCTCTCTCTCTCTCTCTCTCTTTCTCACTGTGGCCCGTTTGACCTGCTGGCGTGACCTCTCCTTTTCTCTCCTTGGCTGTTGTAGCAATACTTGTGGATCCAGACACAAGCGCGTTTCTGCAGAGCAAGTTTTCCTCTCCACGTCTATCATGGATCAGCTGTGATCGCCACTGCAGTTTCACTGTTTCCAACCATTTTTAAAGAAAAGGCGCTACGCTCTGCCTGAAAAGTCGCAAAAAGTTGCTAGATTACATTATATGTAAATTTGCATATTACTGATGTCATCGCATTTTACCGTATCTTTTTGTTTAACAGCTTATTGTTAATAAAGGGGTATTTATATTTGCACTACGCTTTATGTAGGCATGTCAATTTAACTAAATTTATTGCTGTTTGAACACAGTATATTAATATAGATGTGTGGTTAATTTGCATCTCTCAGACGTAATTACTCGACAAGTACCAAAACGTTCACTAGGATATCTGTGATTGTAAACAAGACAAGAATAAATAGTCAAATTAAATTGTTAAAATGTTGCTTTTTTGAAAATTTGACAACACAGTGCAGTTTATCAGTGTCACTCATGGGTGAACTAGTTATTTATTTATAAATTTGAGCCAATCGCAACCTTTTCTGTTGAGTGCGTGACCAATCATAGGGGTGTAAGAACTCGCTCGACATGGCTCATAAAGCGAGTTAGCGATATTTCTGTTTGTATATGTTATAAATGCTCATGTTGTTCTGTGCATGTGGTTGAGTTTTTAAAGGTACAATTCTGACTGTTTGTTTTAAAGTACAAATTTGTATTACAAATATTACATAAATATATTTATACATTTTTTTGCACAGAGAAGTAAAATATAATTGTGTAAGGAATGCATCATCAATGCACCGTGATGCACCGAGATATTGAACCTAATCAATGGCATGATAATCATAACTAAACCAAACTGTGAGACCAGTGTAGGTTCACACCTCTAGTGTAAGCAAATCAAGCTGGTTTAAAGTAAATTCAAGAAAGATTAATAAAGTATATATGCTACAAAGATTATATAGTTTTATTTATTTTACATTTAATTACTCAATTTGTGAACCTGAATACTCTTAGTCTCTCAGAAAAACCATAAAGCATTATTTAAATTGTAACTTTGTTTTACTGTATCTATCCTTGCTTGTGATTTGGTTCAATGGCTTTTATGCAGATGCGCTCCATCCTATTTTCATCCAAAATTATCCCAAAATTATTCATTCTCTACAAATCGAGCTATTCTTTTGTTAAAATTATTCTTAACATTGCAATAAGCATATCAGGAAAATAAAATATTGCAATTACAGTTTTTTTTTTCCAACATCGAGCAGCCCTACTCCAAATGTAATTTTGATCTCCTGTAAATAATAGTGTACTTCTAAATATACAACAAATACATTTAATACGTTGGCTTTAAAACTATTCATGATTAAGTCAAAAAATGTGAGGCAGGCAAATGTCTCAAATTTGGTTGACAAAGAATGACTCGTTTATCTTTAGAAACACAGTAAAAGTGAATTTCCCAAAACAGGAACATATAAATATAAACAGAGATATCCATTAGTACAACTTGGATCACAGTTATCAGATAACTTTTAAATACCATACAACAATGTAAAAACGTATTAAAATGAATTCACTTTGGAGAATGCTGTTGAAAAGTTCATTGTGAAAAAAGGCCAAATCATAGAGAAATAAATTGATTGTTTTCCAATGTACATTATTGTAGATAATTACCTTTTAAATAAACTCTAAACAGCAAAAAACTGACAAAAAATAAACAGAAAAGAACCCTTGGCTAATAGCAATGGGCACTTCTTGGCTGAATACACTACAAAGTTAAAAACTCTAAACCAAGAGTGAAAAGTCTTGATCTGCCATTTGCACGCACACACACACACAAAGTGTCAAGCCTGATGCGAAAAGCAAAATCCATTTCCCTGAATGACAGCAAACTCTCCCTGATTCCTCTCTTCTCAGTTTCTCGTGAATGAACACGAGCAGTTAGATCACGACCTCTCTAAATGCTCCGAGTTGACCTCTGACCCCAGATCAACAGGGGCCAAATAACCGCCTCTCTCCTCCATCCTTGTTATGACACCCCCGAAATGAGTTCAATTACACTGGCCCAATCGGCCGCTTGATGGATGCGCTGCTGTCTGACCCCTTCCTCCTTCAAAAAGAATGTTCTCGAAGCAGTAAATGAATCAATAAACCAACAGACAATACTTTATTGCATAGATGGCGTGCGTCTACGGGGAGCAGAGGAAGGGAGGGGGGGGGAGGCCGGTCAGAAAACGAGAGATAAATAATGTTATGGAGAATGAGAGCAAGGAAAAAAGAATCAGTCACAGTCCCTCTCTGTCTCTTCTGGAAGCGCAATGTCATTTCTCTGAATAGCACGAGCGTTTTGTCATTATTCACTCGAGTTTCAGTTTGAGTCAGACAGCGATCTTGCCCAAACACTCGGCTGCAGCGAACAATGAGCCGCAGACAAGCAAAAGTGCACTTGCACAATTATACGCAAACACAAGCGCGCCGAACAGGACTTTCAGAGGCGTTAAGAGGATTAGTTATGTAGAAGCAGATGAGAAGTGGAGAGGACAGCAAACGTACTCTCTGTGTTCCAGGAAAGTTGTCAGGCATTATAAACGACTGGATAATAAGCAGAGGGCATAAGAGTGTACGGCAAAGGAGGCGTTGTGGGAATTCTGTCATTTCGTTTGTTTTACATTTACATTTGTATGCATTTGGCAGATGCTTTTATCCAAAGTGACCTAAATTGTGTTCTGGATTTTCTTGGGAATTGAACCCCAAATTTTGACATCAAAAATAACCCATTTAATCATCAAAAAAAATCTAGCAACTTGTGAATTTTACTCCTTAGACCTCCCTAACAAAACAAAAAAAATGTCCTGCCTCCTTTAATATTACATTAGTTAAATGAGGATTTACACAACAGTTTGTAACAACAGTGACGACTAGGAAAGCGCATAGAATTGCATGTCTGTGAAACACCCTGTGAGAGTATTAATTTCTATGATCTAGCTTTAAATTAACAGTGATATAAGCAATATTACAGTGCGATATGGCTGTATATCGGCACTGGTGGGAGGCATGCATTGGCTCGCGGCTGCAGGCCGAGTTTCTTAGTGCCAATATACAGACATATCACACTGCTACAAGTGTGAAATTGCGTTTATACAACAGTTTGATGGTATAATCGTGTGTAAAAAAAAGAAAATCAAACATGGAGAGTCTCAAAAGTCCTTTTGTATGAGGAACTACTTTCTTCCACCATTCATTCACATCTGCAGCTGACGTCAGAACAGTAGAAACTGTTGCCAGTTCACAAACGTCACTTTAGAGCTAGTATTTGAATGAATCTCTAGCTTAACGTATAAATACATTTCAGGATTATAAAGCTGAACGACATGAAATGCCATCAGTCTACAGAGATTTTACAGTTTTTCTCTGTTGCAATCAGGATATCACAATAATTAACCCCCAAAAAT